CGGGCCCGTCCACCAAAACGGCTGGAGCCATCACGGATGAAGATATTGTAAAACTGAGGCCTTGTGAGAAGAAAAAGGTACTTATAACCAGAGGTCATTTTGTAGAAAAAGAGGTGCAGGAGCTCATTAGCATAACTTATTTGCACAGCTTATTTGCATATGCCACACCCCCTGACATCACCGGAAGTGTGTCAGAAGGCAACACCCACCACTCAGGCTCCACTGGACTGTTTTGGATTTCTAGCTATCGGGGTGGGGGGAAACGTGCAGATCTGTCCTGGCAGAGGAGGGAGAGCTTGTACCTGAATAAAACCTGGTCTTAAAGGTGCCACTGGACTGTTTTGGACCGTGGGGCCGGGGGGAGCTCTGCAACTTACCTGGCTGCTTCTTGCTCTGACTGAGGGCTGCTGGGAGCAGGGGGTGGGGATTGTTGCATGTGCCCGCCCCCTGGGCTCTTTACTGCCGGAGCTCCGCTCTGTCCTGTGCGCTCCTGCAGGAAATGACCCCTGCTTATAACCATTTTTCAGACTCTGAAACAGGCAAACCAAGCAGTTCCTTTTGAAAGAGCATTCTTCAAACCTCTGTGATCTGGGAACACTTCTTTTATTTAAAAAAAATCTGAATTAAAATTGGAGGGACCCATAATGCTGATGTCTGAAGTTCACATTGCGTAAGAGTGCAGGTTTCCCTTTGGAAGGTGGAAAGGCCAGCATGGTGACACGTGCAGAGATGCGGCAGGCAGCCTCTCCAAGGGAGTGGAAGTCTGCTACGGTTACATCTTTAACAGTGAAGCTTCAAACCATTGCTGTGTCAGTCTAAAATGTGTAAAGCCCTGACCTGGATAGCCCAGGCTAGCCCGATCTGGTCAGATCTCAGAAGCTAAGCAGGGTCAGCCCTGGATGGTATTTGGATGGGAAACCACCAAGGAATACCAGGGCTGTGATGAAGAAGCAGGGAATGGCAAAGCACCGTTTGCCTTGAAAACCCTGTAGAAGAGGAGACTGGATTTATATCCCACCACTACCCGAAGGAATCTCAGATCGGTTTACAATCTCCTTTCCCTTCCCCTCCCCACAACAGACACCCCGTGAGGTAGGTGGGGCTGAGAGAGCTCTTTCGAGGACTGCTGCTGAGAAAGCAGCTCTGAGAGAACTTGTGACTGGCCCAAGGTCACACCAGCAGCTACATGTGGAGGAGTGGGGAATTTTCACAGTGTACCAATTTTTGCGCTTACAGCGTCTAGCACGTCTGTGCTTTGTTTTCTTTTTCTTCGTAGAGATATATCTCCATCCTTTTCCTTCTGTCGGTCAGAGTGGGATTCCAGACTCCCAGTCTCATAGTCCAGACTGCCACGCCACACTTGTGTTGACCTGCTGAGATCTGTTTCCCTGACGTGTCTCATTGCAGCCTCTCTTTAACTCTTTGTTTTCCAGTTGGATCTCCAGGGCAAGCTCTACCTGGCCCCTTTAACCACGGTGAGTAGAAAAGCTTCCTCCTTTGGAAGATGGATTTGATTTCAACACTTGCAGCTGTCTATCCAGTACATTCAATTTAAAACTCCAAATTTATTATTTGTTTAAGTCATTTATAACCTGCCCAACAAGGCTTGCATCATTCTCCCCTCCCCCATTTTATCTTCACAACAGCCCTGCGAGGTAGGTTGGGCTGAGAGAGTGTGACTGGCCCAGAGTCACCCAGCATGTTTCCATGGCGGGAGCGGGGATTCGAACATGGGTCTCCCAGATCCTAGTCTGACACTCTTAACCGCTACGCCAGACTGGCTCACTGTTTAGAAATATTGATTTCTAAAAGTCCATGCCTGCTCCTGTGATTACATTCTGATAACATGCTGTGTCTTATTTCCTCTCGCAGGCCAAATGGTCGGAGAGAAACTTTATAACCAAGCCATATAGCCACATATTCTTTCACACCTCTATGTGGAAGAGGCAGACCTGATGGCGCCTGGCTCTGCCTCACATGCAAAAAGTCACGTAGCCGATGGAGTCGTTCTGTCAACGGCGTCATAAACGTGGAAGCGACAGGAGTATATTTTTTCTCCCATTATTTTTTAACCTTTACAAGTCTCATATTAAAATCCCAAGTCAATAGCCTGTAGTAGGGAAACTATTCTGTGTTGTTTTGATTTATTCAGTATTCACATTCTTCTTTCAGTGTGCTTCCCCCCCCCCCCCCCCGCCTGTGTATATTAAAACAT